CCCCAAAACCCCAAAACCCCAAAACCCCAAAACCCCAAATTAAGAGATTTATGTTGAAATTTGTAGATTTGTTTTAACAAAAATGGAAACAGTAGCTTCGACAGTTGACCAAGTTGACATTAAAGATACATGCATCACACCTGATATGGTCGATTTGGTAGACAAAGAAGGTAATTCAGTGCTGGAGTTAGGGAAATTATGTTTTTATAGATTATATTTATTATTACTTGGACTCTGAGGTGACCAAGCCAGATATTGTCGATAGATATACTCCTGAAGACTTCACAATATTCTTCAATCATGGCAAGAACAAAAAGGAAAGAATGATTTATCCAGTAGAAGGTCCTTATGAAGAGAAAGAAGAGGAAGCTTATGAGAAGCTCCTCGAGCTTTTCGAAGCAGAGGGAGGCGTGCCTGAACAAATGGATAAGAGAAGGTGCATGAGGTAATATTCTTGTCAAAACTGTCATAGATTCTTAGTCACTAATAATCTCAAACCAAAGAATGCACTTAAGAATATCAAGTCTCACCTTGAATGGAGGAAGGAGACCAAGCCAATGGTGTTAGGAGATATACACAAGAAGATGTTGGACGAAGGATATATTTATATCCATGGAAGAGATAGATCCCTCAGGCCAATTTGCTGTGCTAACTTGGGAGTAATCAATAAACTCAACTGTGAAGTCAATGATGGTGTGTTTATGAACTGGTTCTTATGCTTCTATCTTATTGAAAACTTTCTGTGCAAGGGGAAGGTAGAGAACTGGATTTTTGTTGCAGACTACTGCGGGCTCTCTTTAGCTAAACTTCCTACCAAGACATTGAAGAAGATCATGACAGAAGCACAGGAGCACTTAAAATGTAGAATTAGGATGTTTTTCTATTTTAATGTTACTTTTGGTCTCAGAGCTATTTATACAATGGTATCTCCGTTCCTTGATAAAATCATCAAGCATAAGACAGTCATGAAAGGAGGGTCAACAGATGATAAATTTTTATCAATGGCACATCCATCCCAAATCGAAGAGAAATTCGGAGGCGAAGCTCCCAACGTGACCCAGTTCTGGCCACCTTACTGCCCTTCCAACGAATATGATGTCGCTGAGAGCTCTCTTACAGGCTAAGCTAAATCAGCCTTTACCAGTCAGAAGACCTCTCAGAGTCTCTCTAAGCTCAATAAGATGTACCGATTTGGCAAATTAAGAGGAAAATTGGGGTTTTGGGGTTTTGGGGTTTTGGGGTTTTGGGG